ATTTTGAAATATTTTTCATAGAATCAACAGCTATTAAAATAAATACGGCCTCAGGACCTACCATAAACAAAATTTCACAGTTTCTGTTAGTAGAATTTCTTTCAGTAAGAACAGACAAAACTCCAGTTTCCAACAAAATGTTTTGAATTTCTACTCTAGCCAGATAAGAAGTGGTTTATCTGAGGGATTGGCAAATAATGACCATCAAGACTAATATAGTCCATGGCCTACTTTTGAATAAAGTTTTATTAAATCACAGGCTTACATATTTGCTTCCACAATAAGTATAGCTCCTTCCTGGCTATATCAGAAGACTTGAGAAGTTCCAAGTGTTGCGACAGATTGTATGGTCCACAAAAACAAAAAATGTTTACTATCTGGCTCTTTACAGAAAAGTTTGCAGGCTCTTGCTTTAAATCACTCAGGGCTGCATCGGGGTCAAATTTCTTTTTTTTGGGGGGGGGGGGGGGTCAAATTTCTTAAGCTAATCAAAGCACAGGGGCTTTACCCTGGCATGGATTTCTAATTCTAGAGCCAAATATTAGCAAACAACTTGAACAGATAAGGTGATAGTATTTTTGTTCAAAATATTTGCTGTATCTTTCTGGGAGGAGAATTATATTTTCTGGCTCCTTTAACATCAGGTCTGGCCATATAACTTCTTTGCCCAATGAACTGTGAATTGAATAATGTGTTTCACCTCCAGGAAGAAGCTTTAAAATCCAATGCATGACTTGCCATGCACTTTTTTCCATCTGGAAGGAGACTGGTGATGTCTTAGAGGTTGTTCTGACAGCCTGAACCCTTAGAAAAGGTAACATGGAAATAGAGCTGCCGCTAATCCTAAGTATTTGTCAGCATTGGTGAGAAATAAAACTTTACTATGTGAAAGCTACTGAGACTTTGGGGTTGTTTGACCCTGCACGATAACTAAATTTAAGCTGACTCATAAAAAGTTCTTTTTTTGAAGAAACATGTTTTTATTGGCTCATTGAAAGATCAAAAAGCTAGAGTGAAGATCAAATAAGCAAAGTCAGCAACAAATAAATGATTGGATTATTTTTTTAGTCTGAGCCCAAATGAAAAACAATTTTAAACTGTCTCCAATCAACTAATATAACATTTAGTAAATAGTATCAGGATCAGTTACATAGAGAACATAACTGAAAAAGACAGCCACACACACACACACACACACACACACACACACACACACAACAATGGAGGCTGAAATAAAAACAAGAATCACTAAGCTTCAATAGTACAAAGTTAAAGATAAACCTAATTTTTTCACTTTTTGACCATATGCAGGCAATAGAGAAATTTTAATTCCATTATTTGACCAACTAGTTAGAGGGGTCTGTTTTATCCCTCACTAATTCATGTACTTGCATCTAAAAGAAAATTAAGCTAACTTCAGGGCTATCATAAATTAAAAAAAAAAAAAAAAGAATATGCTTGGGTCAATTGTCATAACCAATGCCAAAACTTTAAAAATGAAAACGCAAATAAGCAATACGCCTATGAAAAGTTCATACATAGTAAATATGCTAATTAATGAGAAGACACTGTTTTCTTCTGAAGGATGAGCTAGTATCTTAATATCTAATATTGGCAAATATGTAAGCAAACATGTGTCTTGTCCCACATACATTGCTGGTGAGATTGCAAAAGGGTAAAATCTTTCTGGGAGGCCATATTATATGTATCAAGGATTATTATAATAATCATAACATTTGATCCAACAATTCTGCAACTAGGAATTTATCCTAAGGAAGTGATTAAGCATATGTGAAAATATTAATTTACAAGAATAGTCATCTGATCACAGTTGATAAAAAATTGAAAATAGCATGCATTTCTTAAAACATGGAAGTGGTTAAATAATCATGGCAGATCTTTTTATGGAAATCTATTTAGCAATTAAAGATTTGGTAATAGAAAAATAATAACATGAAAATAAGGTCATGGTTGATTATCAAGCAGAACAAACCAATGAACAACAGGATAAAAATCATTATACATGGTATGAGTACATATTAGCATAGGAAACATTCTAGAAGATATACACAAAGTGTGACTAATGACTAACCATCAATTGTTAGATTAAGGATGATACTTAGTTCCTTTTATTTGCCTTTATTTTTTAATTAGTCTATAATATGAACAGATTGCTTTTCATAAATAAAATTTAAGTTAATAAATCATTAAGCAACAATAATTAAGAGTGCAAAATAAAAAAATATATAATATACAATATATTATGCATAATATATATTATGTATTTATATATCACACATTTATTATATTATATATTTATCTCTCCTTCTCTCTATACATAAATGTATATGTACATATATCTCCTAATAGATTTCCAGAAAGATTATAAACTATATGTAATGCTTAAATTTGTGATAAGTCATTGAAACCAATGTATGGATAGGAAAATAATAGGTAGTATATCAAATTAGAATATATTTAAATATTTTAGAAGTGAAAAAATAACAAATTATCTTTACATTAATGAGAGTTATATACATACAAAGTATCATCATTTTTATATCATTCAAATTGTTAGTTTTAAATTTTTTAATATTAATTGAAATCATTAAGGAAAATATTGACATAGTGCTCAAATATTTGTTTGTATAATTTGAAATGAATTTTAACACTTTTAGAAGCATTATATAGTTAAAATTTTTAAAAAGCACATTCAGAAAAAATATGTGCTACATCTAATAAATGGATAAAAAAATTTTAGACATAGGACAGAATTAGGAAGCTCAGAAAAAAAACAAAATGCAACAGATAAAATAATATTCAACTCAAAAAAGAAGCATCCATTTAAATAAAGAATTTTACATTTTTATTAAAGCAGCAATACATATATGATGGAAACCAGTGAAGGACAGTTTGTGAAAAGTTAACATGATAATAAGTGTAGCATCTGTGCGCATTATGATACAATCCTTCTGGAAAACAAATCTAGTACACAGTTATACTTTCACCTAGCAATTACACTTGCAGAATTACCATATTTAATGCAAAATTTTCTTCTGGCTGAAAGTAAGTTTGGAATTTGCCCTACTATATCTTCCCATGGTTTTCACCTATACAAGTGTATATTTAATTGGACTTGCTGAGACAAAGATTATGCATATTTGACAGTACTTGCCAAATATTTTCCATTAAGGAGGCACAAATGGGAAACTGAAGACCATGTTCAGAGAGTCACTAAAAGGACTCACAGGACTCAACATACAATTATACTCATAGCTGGGATTTAATACGGTGACACAAGAGCACACAGCTAGATCAGAAGGGTAAAACAGGCAGCAGAGTCTGGAGGAGCCCATGTGCAGGCTTCCTCAGACACTCTCCATCTCATGAGGGGTCACACTGAACACTCTTCCTCCAGCAACCAAAAGACAAGAGTGTGTGTGTGATCTCTCTCCAGCCCATTGGAGAGATGCAGTGCCAGAGGTTTTCAGTGGAGGCTGTTCATGTAGGCACCTTCTATTTGGCATTTATCAAAATTCCAAAAGGAAGGGAAGTGTTTGGCAGAAACTTACATATAAGCAGTCTAGGCACAGTGAGTCACTCTTATCAATCAGGAAAAAGTGGAAACCCTATAGAAATTCAAGTTCCTGGCTGCCTCCTTCCCAAGCAGGCCTATCTAAGAACATTAGTCTAAGGTGGGCTATGTTAACCCTTTCTGCACAGAAACACACCAGCCCATGTGCTATTTTCTGTTTTGCTATGCATTGGCACAAATATGCTCTTGTCATAGTTTTTTAAAAAGCAGGGAGTGGGCAGGGCAGAATGATAGGTAAAATTAATATTTCATTTTCATTTCTTTAATCAAACCTGAATTTATGTGTGTTTTTCTCTCTTTGCTGGTCACTTGTATTTCTTTGAAGTGCTTTGTCCAAGCATTTGTTAGACTAATTTTTGTGAGAAAATTAGCCATCTTATTAGCCACTCATTTCTGCTCAGTGATTTGAATATCTCTGGTCTAGTAGCCTGATACTGAAGTTCATCTAGAATGAGAAGTCAGTGACGCTAGCCAGGACAAATCTGGAAAGGGTGTGAAATGGGAAGCAGGAAGTAGGGAGAATAATGCTGCAAGGCATCAAAATGTATTATAAAGTCATGGTAAGTTTCATGATACATCTAAAAATTTCTGTTATTCAGTTTTAGTCTTCAAGATGAACTCTCCATATCATTTTATTATATTAGAAAGAGATGATACTTTGAACAGGTCACATCGAATTTATTTATTTTTTTAAAAAATTACTCTTTACATCCTTGATGTTCTCCAATATTTGTGGCTCCTTTAATTCTTTTGTATCCTCAGAAGACTCTTGAGAATTTATTTTACACAAAAACCCATTAATTTTTGATAAATATATCCCTAGAAAGTTGGTTTTTATTTTATTTTTACTGTGAAGGGATTTTTCCCCTTTTTTATACTATGTAATTAGATTTTTTTCATACAGTATACATTGGTAAGCTATTGATTCTTTTAAATTGATTTTTTGTTTTCACCTGTTTTGTTGTATTACCTTATTATTTCTAACCTTTTTAAGCCCATTTTCTTTGTTTCTTTATAAATTACCACATAATATGCAATATACAAATATGACAACTTAACCTCTTAAGCAGCATTTATATATTTTACATTGTGGTTGTAAGGGCCTGCCTCTCCCAGAGGAACTGGTTTGTGGACTCCGGCTGTAGGGGCGGGGCAGGCCGGGTGGAGATGTCCAATCAGTGGGGCGCGTGTTTATCCACTAGGGTGAATTGGGATTCAATTGGCCGCCTGTGTAGGGGCGGGGCTCAACCACCCCCATAAAGGTTGGTCTGTGAGGCTGTCGAGGACAGAAGAAGGAGAGCTGTCAGAGGAAGAAGAAGGAAGAAGCAGCAGCAGAAGGAGAAGAGTCGGGGGGAGCAGCAGCAGCAGCAGCAGAAGAGTCACTGGGAGCAGAAGAAGAGCTGTAATGGCTCTTGTAAGAGCTATAGGGGCTGTAGCAGCTCTTGTGAGAGCTATAAGCGCCGCCGGCGGCTCCGAGCCACCGGTGGTCCCGACGCCTGCGGCCTCAAGCCACCAGCGGCCCCGAGCAGCCAACAGTCCCGAGCAGCCAGCGGTCCCGACGCCAGCGGTCCCATGCCACCAGTGGTCCCGACGCCTGCGGCCCCAAGCCATCAGCGGTCCCGAGCCGCCAGTGGTCCAGATGCCAGCAGTCGAGATGCCAGCAGTCGAGACTCCAGCAGTCCCGCGCCACCAGCAGTCCTGCCACCAGCGGTCCCGCACCACCAGTGCCCCGACGCCTGCGGCCCCGAGACACCTGCAGCACCGAGACACCAGCGGCCCAGACGCCAGCGGCCCCGCCCACACACTGCGACCCTCTGCAGCCGCACCGCAGGGAACGGCCTAGACGGCAGCAACCTCACCAGGAACCCTGAGCCGCTGCCTCGCCGGAGCTGTGTCATTCCGGGGAGCGGCTTTGTCTGGGAAGAGGACTTCTCCGTGAGCGGCCCTGCGGGAGCAGCATCATCAGGGAAGAGGCTTCCTCCAGAGCGGCCTCGCCGGAGCAGCTTTGTCTGGGGAGCAGCCTCGCCAGAGCAGCCTCGTCAGAATGGCATCATGGGGAGCAGAGTCTGTGTCATCGGTGTTGTCCTCCTCGTCATCATCGCTGTCGTCAACGCCTCTTCGTCATGGGGAGCGGCCTCATCCTGGGAGTGGCTTCCTCCAGAGTGGCCTCTTCTTGGGAGCGGCTCCAACCGGGGAGTGGCCTCGTCAGTGAGCGGCCTCGTTGGGATCGGTGGCCTCCTCTGGGGAGCAGCCTTGTCAGAGTGGCGTCATGGGGAGCAGAATCTGTGTCATCGGTGTTGTCCTCCCTGTCATCGTCGCTGTCGTCATCGCCTCTTTGTCATTGGGAGCCGCCTCGTCCTGGGAGCGGCTTCCTCCAGAGTGGCCTCTTCTTGGGAGCCGCCCTGTCCGGGGAGCGACCTCACCAGCAGCAGCCTTCTTGGGAGTGGCCTCTTCTTGGGAGCGGCTCCAACCAGGGAGCGGCCTCATCTGCGGAGCAGCCTCATCCGGAGCGGCCTTCTTGGGAGTGACCTTGTCGGAATCATCGTCGTCTTTTTTGTAAGAGACAGCCCTGACCGGTCAGTTTGATTTTTGATGCTTGGCGTGAAATAAAGCTTTGTTTGATTTTCGCTTTATATCATTCTCGCTCCTTTGATCATGGACCCTAACAGTGGTTTTATCTAATTATGGTTTTTAATATTTTCAGAAGAACTGTAAGTAATATCGGCAATTCTGAGCCCCTTGTCTTCTTCTTGGTTTAATGGGATTATTTATACTATTTCTTTTATTTGTTGGGGGAAATACTGTTTTTATAGGGTGGTGAAAGGAATAAAGGGGAAGAAGAGTATAAGAGAAAGAGTCAAGGGTATCCACTGACTTCTATTTTGCTAACACTTTTACAAGAAATGACTGTTGACTTTTATCGAAGAATTTTATCATAGAATGAAACTCTCTTGAGGACAAATGTCATCTACTTACAGAAGCACCCATTGTCACTTTATATGAAGTGACATCCCCAAATACTTTCTGTCTCATCTTTATAGTTACTCTACAGCATAGGTCAAAAATCTCTAAGTAACTGGTAAACGTATTTATTTGGCTACTGTCTATTTCTCCCAATCGAGTGTTGGCTCTCCAAAGACCTTGTTTATTATGCATCTATTTCATATATACAGTTTTTAAGAGTGTTAGGACAGTAATTCACACATAGTAAATGCTTCAACAATTTACTAATCAAGAAGCAATGTATTTTTTAAATTTATGTATGTTTAATTACTAATATTCATTTTATTTGAAATTTACATTGGCATTCCTAAATGAATTGCCCTTTACTTTTTAGTACATGCTTATTTTTCATTTTCTTAAAATGACATTTTTAAATTTTTTTAAAAAATATATTTATTTATTCAAGAGAGTGGGGGGCAGAGTGAAAGGGAGAAAGAGAATTTCCAAGCAGACTCCCCATTCAGCGCAAGGCCCAATGTGGGCCAATCCCATGACCCCAAGATCACAACCCAAGCCAGAATCAAGAGTTGGAGCTCAACCAACTGAGCCACCCAGTCACCCTATTAAAATGACATTTAAAAAATGACATTAAATACACATAGATTTTTTTGTGATGTCATAAATTATTTAAAGAGTATAAAATTATCATTTAAATATTTAACATAATTTATCTGGAAAAATATCTGAGCCCTTCAATTCAGACTAGAAATGGCTCTTTGATAACCTTCTCAAAATTCATATGGATTCAGTCTGCTTAGCTTTTTTTTATTTGATCTTTATCTTCTATGTGTTTTCTTGGTCACCCTTATTAACATGTTTTTCCTAGAAATCTATTTGGTTTAGATTTTCCAAATGATTCATGTTAGATTCCATAGACGCATGTTTAATTTTCTATATTTGTTAGTATTTGTCTTTTTTCTCACTGTTTCTGAATATCATTTGTAATTTCCTGAATTTTGTTCTTGATTTATCTAGCTAAATGTGAAATCTTTAAAAATATATTTTATAAAGTTACTTGTGATAGTTTTTTCCTATTTTGGCTTTATTTTCATTCTTAATATCTATTTTTATATTTTTGTTGTAAATGGCAATGATATTTACAACTTGTGTAAACCTAATATTTAAAAATTTGTCATTTATTGATATTTTATTTTCATTAAATGTGTTTCTATTATACATTACTGAGCATTTGAAAAGAAGTTTCTTCTTTTTTGTATTCTATTTTTGATATTGTAATAATTTATTTTTTATTACATTTACATCCTCCTATATGATTATTGTCACCAATTTAGGAATTTACACTAAGGAAATACTTTTAGATTCTAAACTAATAGTGGTTTTAGGACATGCCATCAACTTAATACAGCTTGTTAACAATATTTAATAACCATGTTAAATACACATAGATTATAAAACATACCCTGATTTTGAAGTAGTTAAGATATTAAAAATGTTTATTTTAGGATTTAGAGATTATAGTCATTCATATGATGAAAACATAGAGACGTTCACAAATATATTTAAGGCAGAATTACTTAAAATAGCAAACTACTATTTAAATAAATGCCTACAACTAGATAAACATCTAAGTGAAGTATACCAAGTTTAAATCTTATGCAGCAATATAAAATAATTATGAACATATAATTACAAGGAGAATATTTATGAAAGAACATTAAATGAACAGGAAAAATAAACTATTTCAATACTACAGATGAAATTCTCTAGAAGCATGCTCACATATGTATAAACACAGAGTGATACATAGGAGGAAAAAATTAAAAAGCACTTTAAATATTCCCAATAATATTCCCAATAATGAGGTTAGAGGAGATTCCTTTTTCTCATATCTCTCTCCCCAACCAAATTTTGTTCTAAATTTATCTGAGCAATAAAGGAAAATGTAGCAAATTCAGAGATCTACAGAAAGCAGTAAAGGCCAGGCTCACATGATCTACCCCTTTATTCCCTCACAGGACTGAGAGGAGGAAAGAAGACCAGGGCTGCAAAGGGCTTATCTCCCATCTTTCTTCCTGAGACGTGCAGACAAGCAGACACTGCCCATGGGCAGATCTGAACCCAGTGCTGTGTACACTGGAGTGAGGGCCAAACGCAAGAGTCCAGGTCGACACCTCTATTCACTCAAAATGGTCCCATTTCCTAGTAAAATGATATGAATCTACTCACTCAGTTATTTTATCTGTTCATAAGAATTTCCCTAAGCTGAAGATTGAAGACAAATATCAAGAAGGATTTGAAATGGCCATAATTATGTTATTCAAGAAGCAGCTGTCCCCATAGTCTGCCTTCCCCACAAACCCTGATGTCTCTTGTTGCCTCACCTTTCATTCCCAATAGATTTCACATTGTTGAAAAACAAGGTCCATGACTTTCACTTTTTAAAAAATATCTGCTATGTGCTTCGTAAAAGTTTGGCAAATAGTAGAAACCCCAGTATATATGCATATACATATACCTGAAAATCTAATTATTTATTCATATATATGCATTGAATCAAAAACACATCATCCTTTAGCTGGCATTGCTATTTTTAAATCAGTCTCTCTGAATTTCTCCCCAAATAGCCTATTTTAAGGTGGAATATTTCATGGAAAATTATATAATTATGTTGTCTTTTTTTTTTTTTTTTTTTAGATTTTTATTCTCCAGGGATACTGGGAGTAGAATGCCTCAACATTGTCCGATTCCCATCCAACACCTCCCCTTCACTCAGACTCCCTTACTGGGTTATTTTCTGGGCTGCTGGTATTATTGTTACCTATACTCCACATTGACAAATGTGTCACTTTCCCACTCACATTGTCATTATCAAAATCTATTTTCTACACTTGATCCATTTTGTTTTTCCTTAAAAAATAATTGCATACAAAATTCAACTTATACTCTATAGATAAGCCCCTTCACGCACACACACTTGGTTTCTTATATCAATATTTCAAGAATTAAATATAGGGGTGCTGGGTGGCTCAGTTGGTTAAGCATCTGACTCTTGATTTCCACTCAGGTCAAGATCTCTGGATCATGAGATCAAGCCCCCTTTAGGGTGCTGAGCTGAGTATGGAGTCTGCTTAAGAATCTCTCTCTCCCTCTCTCACTGCTCCTTCCCACCTTGCTCACACACTCTCTCTCTTTCCCTGAAAAAAACATTTTTTAAAATTAGTATATTATAAAACCATAATGTAGAGGGATCTGGTTATTTCCGTGTTTCTTTTAGTACTTTTTTAGTACTTTCTTTAGTACTTTAGTACTTCAGTACATGTACTTTAGAACATAATACAAACTATGTATGTAGTTTGTATTATGTATGTACAAATTATTATATGCAAATATAAACTAGGCACATATCAACGATTGTTTAACTAACTGATGATGAAATCACCAAGATACTGAAGTTGGTTCAAAAGCATGGTGGTATGGAGGTATTTACAATGGCTAAAAGAAAAAAAAAAAAAAAACTGAGAAAGATTGCTAGTCCAGGTACAAAATAAGTTAAAGCTCATCAAGGACAAGTAATTCTGTAATCTTTGGTCAAAAACCATGTGCAATTCATTCCCATTGCTATAGGATTGGAATCATTTACATTGCCAACCATTTTCTGCAGGGTAACAGGTATCCTTGCAATGTTGCAAACTATTCTCAATGATAATAAATAACAAGTCAAACAGGGAATATACAAGACAAGAGAATTGGGAAATCCCTTGGCAGGACTGTTAGATAATGTCTAGCAGGACAGTGAAAGGACTTTCTGTAATCCTTTCCAGGTTTTGAATCATTTCTCTCAACAATCTGAATATCTGAATGATTACTAATGCTTCACAT